TTTTTTTTTAAGAGAAATCAACTTTGAGATTCTTTTTTGAATATCTGATATCTTATTTGAATATCATGTCACTTAATGTCTCCATGACTCTATTTCCTCACCTGAAAATAGAGTTCATAAGATTTTCCTTGTAAGTTATTGTGAGGATTAAGTCAATGATTTTTTGAAGAGTAAATTAAACAGTGTCTGGCATTTGAAAGTCACCAAATAACACATATGTTCTTTTTTTTATGTACTCTCATTAGTTCTCAGGAAAACAGACCTTAATGGGATACCACTATGCCTTTGCCTGACAGCTGAACCCTAGGATTTTTACCTAGGATTTGCAGAGGTGAAGAGCAATGAGCACCCTCATACAGAGCTAGTGGGTATGATTTGATACTAGGGAGGATTGAACTGAGGGATGCTCTACCACTGAGTTCCATCAAGGCTGGCCTCAATCTTGGAATTTTCCAGCCTCAGCCTCCCTAGTTGCTGGGATTATAGGTGTGCAACCACCACACCAGTTATTTTAGCTATTTTTAGTAATATTTTGATTATGACTGTTGAGGTACTTCCGGTCACCAAAAGGCATGAACAAGAGAGTAAAGACAAACCAAGGAGTGTGAATAGATATTGTAATACTCATATCCAATAAAAAGCTATATTATCAAGTACATAAAGAGCTATTACAGTTGTCTCTCTGTATTCATGGGTTCCACTGCATCTACGGATCCAAGCAATCATGGAATAAAATTATTTTAAAAAATGAAATCTGTACTGAACATGTACTCTTGACACTCCCTATAACAACTGCCTCCACTGCATTTACATTGTATTAGGTACTATAAATAATCTAGATATGATTTAAAGTATATCAGAAGACACATGTAAGTTACATGCAAATACAACACCATTTTATATAAGGACTTGGGCATTCATGGATGTCCATATCTTCAGAGAGTTCCTGGAAACAGTTTCCTACACCCCAGATACTAAGAGATAACTGTACCAAAAAAGGGAACCCAGATTCCTGATATTTACCTATTATTTGCAGAGGTGTAGAGCAATGAGCACCCTCACACAGAGCTAGTGGGTGGGTAATTTGGTAAAAAAACTGTTGAAAAGCAGTTTGAATGATAGTTTGCATTAATGTTCTATGACCAAGAGATCCATTCATTAATATGAGTCCACATGAACACCTGTACACAGTGTACGAAGTCCAAAAATGATCAAGGTAATTGTAAGAGGCGAAAAGTTGAAAGAATTCAAATGCTCATCAATAGCAGAAATAGTCATACAATTGAATTCCTTATAGAAAGAAACTGGAATAAAGTACAGCTACATGGAGCAATATCAGTGTCAAAAAAGTATACATAAAGCATATTTAAATATATAACTACGA